TGTTTACCACAAACAGTTCAGTTGTCTCAAAAGAATCATCAAAATCGATTTAAAACTGATGATAGCATTGCGTGTACTATTACTACTTATAGTTTAAAATCTATAAGGGAACAGATGAACATACGTTCTTACATACAAACTTACACGTTCAAATCATAACCTTCCTTTTTAGTTCTTCATAGTTGAAAAAAAAATTGAGTGGGTAACAATTTTTTTTATTTGTCGTTTTGCTAAAATAAATTCATACCTTTATTAACTTTCCAACCGACTTCGAAAAGAAGGAGGTTTTTTAATTCGGTTGTATTTTTTTTATGTTTGTTGTACCTCATAACTGCATCAGTTGTAAACCGATTTGGATTTTTTTATCCGAAAGATATACTTAGAGTTTGGTCCTATAGAAATTTATAAAAATTGATTCAGTACATAATTTAGTTTTTATATCAAAATAAATAATTTTGTAAAAAAATTTAGTAGATTTTTTTAGGAAACACACTCTTAATCGTTATACTCATATGTAGCGTACAAACCAACTTTAATTTCACCAGTTACTCTAAATATGGACTCAAAAAAAAATAAAAACATAGAGTGTATGTCCATTAAATCTTAAAGATAATTTATAGCTACTAAAGACGTATACTCCTGTACTTTTTCATAGAATTAGGAATAATTGCTCTAACAGATTTATTGAAAAGCTTATCGGAGTCGGAAAACCGATCAATTAAATAAATATACAATAAGTACTTTCTATTTTTATTATATCAATCGATTGGGTCAATGTAAAAACCATTGGAAGGTTTTATTTAAATCGAAGGGTAAAACAATAAGAAAATGTAAGTAGACATCGTTCACTTTTATAATTCACTATTATCGAACGACGTAATTTTGTACGATTTTACTGTCTGGAATTTACAATGTAATAAGATATAATAATTTAATACTGTATCCACAAAAAAGTGCTAATTCGTAGCAAAACCAATTTTTTTTTAATTCAAAACTAAACCACTAAACAGGCTTTGATAAAATTTCTATGGGCTCAATTTGAAAGTATAGTCTTTCAGATAAAAAAATAATTTTCTGAATCGGTTTGTAAAAGACGGAGTTATGAGGTAACAAACGTAAAAAAATATTTAGATGTGAATGTAAAGTGCCGCACACAAGCCCATAGGGTTTAAATGGTACTAAAATTCTTAACTTTTTTGTATGTATTTGTATTATAAATAATAATGATATATTTTTTTCCTAATTATGTTCCCGATACAGGCATTATCTGGTTACAATTTATTATAGTAATATTACGTAGATCCTATTTATTATCCAATAATTAAAAGAATCTGTATATAAGAGAAGAAAGCGCAAGGTATTAAGCTACTAGAGAGAGACTGTACAAAAGTCGATTGCTTGGGTACCTCTGTCCCACTCGTGTTTCAACCGTGAAGCAGTTGTGTTTGCATGGCTGTGTTTCGGTTTGAAGGGTGGGATATGGCGTGAATTTACTGGATACAGAGGAATAACATCTGAGTCCTCAGGAATGGCAACGCATATTGGGAGTATCATGGGCGAAACAGTAGATAACTCTGTTATGTTTTTGGTACATGTTAAAAAACAAAAATATAGGCGACGGTTAAAAAAATCTTAAATCACTTTCCATCAGGTGGGCCGTCAGTTACAAATTATTGTTTGATTCTATTTATATCTAAGTTGTATAAAAAAAAATCTATCCATAGAATCCATACAATTGTCTACATTTTGTTGTCATGTAATATCATGATTATAGAATATGTAATATTCGAGGTACAGTAAATTATAAAAGCGCTCATTAACTCCATTACAATTTCATCTTTCTACATGACTTTGATATCTTACAAGGTCTAACTTTGTTACATTAATAAATTGGAACGCTTTCAGAGCAGATACCTTGTTCTTGGATTTATATATAAAATAATAAGATATACTCGTATTTTACTTACATTACGTGGCTCGTGTCTATTATATTAGCTGTTTTTATTCAGTCTTTTTTGAGCTACCTGTCGAGGTTTTTCCAAGAGTCTACAGCATGGAGTTCTTCAAAAAAGAAGTAAAGAGATTTCGTCAGAGTCGGTAACGCGCACGTAATGCATTGGTAGCGCAGGCGTTCATAGACTACGGTAACCGTTGACTATCAGGTGGGCCCTATACTTGTTTGCCATTACAGTGGCATTAAAAAATGACGCTTTATAAAAAATAATGCCAGTTAGTTTTAATTATAAATCTATAGTTTTAAACCCACTACAATAAAATGGAGATTCCCTATAAGACCCCATATTTATTATTATCGATATATTACATGATTTTTTTCGTCACATACCCTTTTTGATCATTCTTTTTGTAATCTACAAGATTTATTCTCATGTTAATATGTTGTAATACCATACTGAATTTATCACGATTGAAATGTTCAACCGACTTCAAACAAGAAGATTATCAATTTGATTGTATTTTATTTTTATATTTGTTAGCTCATAACTCCATCGGTTGTAAACTGAAGTCTTTTTTATTCAAAAGAATATATTTTCAAATTAGATCCATAGAAATTTCATTAAAATCGCTTCAATTTTTAGTTTTTTAAATAAATTGTTTCGCCAGGAATGAAGTCGGTTTTTTTTTGTGGAACAATATCTGTTATAGAAATAGAACCTACCTCGTTTACTATGCGGCCTAATCAGCGTGGCAATCATCATCACCTCAGGTATTATCTGTCCACTGCTGAACATTGGCCTTCCCATACACTGTCATAAGGTCCGTACCTTCTACCACTGACTTCCTGCAATGCATTTGAAGTCGTCACCCCATATAGTGTAAGGTCAGCGAGGTAATAATAGACAAAAATGCTTTTCTACTATAATGAAACTTATGTTTAGCCTGAATTCCAACAGAAAGTAAGAGGCATATATAAAAAACACCTCAAGTCTACGCTATATATATATATATATATATATATATATATATATATATATATATATATATATATATATATATATATATAAATTTTATATATGATTATTTTACACAAGTTGTCATCTACATGAAAAAAATCTGTTATATTTACACAATAAATCATTAATTTCTCTAACAGAAATATATAAAATGATTTTACAATTATCAGAATGCTAAATGTTTGTTAATATAGCTTCATAGAGTATAAAAAAAGAAAAAACCTGCTGTAATAAATCAGAATTGTTTTGTCCTTGGTTGCATTTGGTAAAATTCCGTTAAAGCTTCCATTTGTGCGCTCTCGACAAATCGCTGCGGCTTTACGGATCATTTTCTCGCGTACGGCGAAACTTATTCCACGGTGAAATTATGAACGAACCTCTACTTTTATTCAGGTACATTTTAACAAATTTAAATCAAATCAATTGTTTTTTTTTTTTTGTACATATTATGCTATATATTCGCCATTTTTTTTGTATGTATTCTTTCTCTTATCGATAGTTTTTACCAGAGGGAGACTTTGTCACGCATACAAAAGTCGTTTTCTTGGGTACCTCTGTCCCATTCGTGTTTCAACCGTGAAGCAGTTGTGTTTGCATGGCTGTGTCATGGTTTGAAGGGTGGGATATGGCGTGAATTTACAAGGTACAGAGGAATAACACCTGAGTTCCAGGAATGGCAACGCATGGGGGTTATCATGGGCGAAACAGTATACTCTGTTATGTCCATGGTGCTGCTCATGTCTATAGGCAACGGTTACTACTTTCCATCAGGTGGGCCGTCAGCTTGTTTGCCGTTCTAAGTTGTATAAAAAAAAGTCCAATATAAGTACATGAATAGGTATATCGAATAATATCAAAAAATGTTGAATATCCTATAAAATACATACAAACTTAAATCACATCTAGATGTCAGGCTAACACTTGGATATTTTGATTTCATTTATATTTGTAGTAGACATAAAATTGTATTGTATTCATGTTGCTTTGGAAAAAAAATTCAGTTTTACTTTTAATAATACGTCATGATGATCAATCATGATCATTAGCATTATTTCACTTTGTATATATAATAATATCTGCTGTGTAGTCCCCGCATAGACATAGGCAAAACGGTTAAGGGATGGGCAGAAACGTCCCTCTTAAAACATCACCAAAGCCTAGTTGCATTTGCCAACCCGCCTGGCAAGCATGACAACTAATGGAAAACAATAGGATGAGGCCTATATTCAGTAGTGGATAGTTAATGATTAATATGCTATATAATAATAATATTCTAGCTGTAAAATTAAATATAGTGACTGGTAAATATAATCTCATCATATGTATATGCTTTAAACATTTCCGAACGCAACATGCTTCTACCCTCCTTACCTATCCATATTTCCTATCAAATCTGGGATCACATCGGGGGGTAGACGGATAAATTAAGTCTATAATCCAACTGCGTGTCGAGCTGATCGAGTTCCGCCAAGATCACAAAAAAAGGCTCCACCAGTTGCGAATTAGTCAATCAGCCGCGATCTCCGCGCAACTTACAGTGGTATTTCAGCGAAATCAACATAAGTGTTAGATATTTAGAAGAGAGAACGAGAACGCGTACAAAGACCTACACGCGGGGACTACGTGAACCAGGTTTGTCCTTTACCCTTCTTTTTATCCAACATCCTTTCCTTGGTCCTTCGAGCCGGATATCCTCATCCTTTATTAAATCTAAAAATCATCCATATTTCATCATCAAAATCAAAAAATCATCCTATAAATTTATTGCGTCATCTTTTTTTTTTTGTTCATATTAACCCCCATTCTATATTTAATTGTACGTGTCATTTCCATTCAAATTGCCTTGTGGTCAAATGACACTTCCTTTTGGTATTTAATTGTTGGCGACACTGAATATCATAGAAACGTCATCAGAGCTGTCAATATTCGATCAATTTCAACTTGTCATTTTATTTTGTTTACATTTATATTTCAATTTACCTTTGCATATAAAATTATTACTATTTCTGAAAATAAACACTAAAAACAATGGCTAATATAAAAGCGTATATCACCAATTGTGATCGTAATTATAAAAACATGAAAATTGTGTATGAACTGGCAGGTAAACTTAGTCAAAGCACCAATATCACTCCTCAAGAACGATCTAGTTTTCTAGTTCGATATAAGGACATTGAACGTTTTAGGCAACAATTTGAAGAAGCTTTTACCATTATTATGTCTAGTCCAGAGGCTATGAGTGACAAATCTCGCGAAGAATTAGAAGTTAGGTATTCAGCCTTCATGGACATGTACTATTCTATTCAAGTTTTACATAGTTCATTTGAAACAAAAAGTAGCAATAGTACTCAACAAGTATCAGTTAAATCAGAACCTGGCATACATCTTCCGAACATATCCCTAAGTAGGTATACAGGTGTGTACACTGAATGGCCAAATTTTATTTCTATATTCAATAGTTTAATACATAATAATGATAGCTTGAGCCCAATTCAAAAATTGCATTATTTGCTGAGTGTTTTAGATAAAGAACCACTTTCTTTAGTGAAACATTTAGTAATATCTAATGAGAACTACAATGTTGCTTATAATCTATTAATTGCACGCTATGAAAACAAGAGAGTGATCGCTGATAAACATGTAGAAGCAATTCTTAACTTACCAACTTTAGCACAGTTATCTTTAAAAAATTTAACCAAGTTTGTTTACACTATAAAGGAAAATACTCAAGCCCTTAATGCTCTAAACATAGATACAAAATCATGGGATTTTCTTTTACTTCACATTATTCTCAGAAAATTGTCCCTTGAATTAAGAAGTAAATTTGAATCTCAAGTAGATGCTAGGAGTATACCATCATTTAACAATTTAATTACATTCTTAGAAAATCAACTATATATTTTAGAAAATTTAAATACATGTACACATAAGGCTTCTACCAGCAGTTCATTGACAGTTGTTGAATCCAAACAGCTTAACAAAAATAAACCTTATATGGTTGTGTGTCCCTGCTGTCAGGAAAATCATAGTATATACCATTGTTCCAAATTTGATGCAATGACTCCAGAACAAAGAAAATCCTTTGTTTATCAGAATAAATTGTGTTTTAATTGTTTACGGACTCATCACATTGCTAAATGCATCTCACGTAGTGTATGTGGAGTATGTCATGGCCGTCATCATACAAAGCTACACATCATGTCTAATACAGTAAGGCCTAATCCAACGGAAGAAGTTGCTGTGTCCACATTAGGCTCCATCATGCAACTTCAATCAAGTAATGATGAGCGACAGTTTACTATGATATTGGGTACCGTTTCTGTTTGTGTACGGGATGTCAATGGGCAATATCATTCAGCCCGTGCATTGATAGACAATGGTTCCCAAGTTTCTATTATATCTGAAAGTCTTGCTCAGCAGTTAAGGCTACCACGTACACCGTCGAGATGTGTACTTGGATTAGGTGCTTCATCAGCCAAGCAAACTAGAGGTACAATACATTGCCATATAAAATCGGTACATGATTCCTCCAAATTCATTTCTACTGACTGTTTAATAATGAAACGTATAACAGGTAATCTTCCTTCTGTTGAAGTCAACTCTTGCATCATGGATAAATGTAGAAATTTAGTTTTAGCGGACAAAAACTTTTCAGTTCCAGGACAAATAGATCTTCTTTTGGGTATTGACACATATAATCAAATTCTGGATGGCAAGCGGTGTAGCCTGGGTGATGACATGCCCACTGCACATTCATCCTTATTCGGTTGGGTTATTATGGGCAGAGCACCAGCAGCATCACAGCACTCTTATAGTGTAATTTCGATGGCCTGCACAGGTGATCCTTTCTTCAATCTTTCTAGGTTCTGGGAGTCAGAGGAACCTCCCAGCCAGCCTATACGGGATCCTGAAGATATTCTTTGTGAAAAACATTTTACTGACACCCACACGAGAGATGACACAGGTCGTTTCATTGTACGGTTACCATTCAAAGTAGATCACAAGCCTTTGGGAGAAACACACACTACCGCTTTAAAGCGATTTCATAATTTAGAGCGCCGCATGTTAAAGGATGACAAATTGCATGAATTATATGTAGCCTTTATGAAAGATTACATTGAAGCTGGCCATATGCGTGAAGTATCAACTCCTGTTTCAAGGGAGCGATATTACATTCCGCATCATGGCATACTACGAGAACATAGTAGCACCACAAAACTTCGTGCTGTATACGATGCTTCGGCCTCTAGCTCCACTGGTGTTTCCCTCAATCAGATACTTATGTCTGGCCCCAAACTTCAAAAAAGTATTGAAGATATAATTTTGCGTTTTAGAATCCATAAAGTTGTCTTCACATGTGACATAAAACAAATGTACCGCCAGGTACGTATGCATAATGAAGATTGTAAATATCAAACTATCTTCTGGCGTGCATCACCTGATGAGCCGCTGAAGCAATATGAATTGATCACAGTAACATATGGCGTCACCAGCTCTGCTTTTCAAGCTATTCGTGTCATTCATGAGCTGGCTCACATAAATTCCAGCCAGCATCCTGAGGCTTGTAGAGTGTTGCTAGAGGACACATTCGTAGACGACGTTGTCAGTGGTTCTCATAGTTTTGACTCTGCTCAGCACCTGCAACAAGAACTTGTTAACATTCTATCTCAAGGCGGCTTTGCTTTACGTAAATGGTCTAGCAATTCAAAGGAGTTTTTGGAGTTGTTTGCTTCAGATCACTGCGAGCCACCTTACCGTTTCGAAGAGCATGGTGATAATGTTTACAAGATTTTGGGCATCGAGTGGAACGCAAAAACTGACAGTTTCATTTATCGTGTTTCAAATATTAGCGACGTCATGACAATGCGTGGTGTACTTTCTAATATTGCCAGACTTTACGATCCATGTGGATTCCTTGCGCCTGTCACTTTCTATGCAAAGCACATCATGCAACAATTGTGGGCAAGTCAGTGTGGATGGGATGATCCTCTTCCTCCTGCCATACAGGAAAGTTGGTCAGAGCTAATTTCAAATTTTCATCAACTCGATAAAGTATCGATACCACGTTGGGTAATCACTAATCAACCATTGGTTTGTCAGCTACACGGTTTTAGTGATGCGTCTGAACGCGGATACGCTGCGTGTGTCTATCTGCGCGTCCAGAATGCTCATGGTATTTCGACTCAACTATTACTCGCAAAATCGCGTGTAGCACCTCTTAAACAAAAACTTACCATTCCAAAATTGGAATTAAACGGTGCACTTTTACTTATACGTCTTACAAAACACGTATTTGACATCTTAAATGTCAAAGTCAAAATTAGTAGTGTTGTTGCTTGGTGCGATTCAAGTATAGTTCTTTCATGGCTTAAAACTTCTCCTCATAAACTTCAAACGTATGAGGGTAATCGTGTATCCCAGATTCAAAATCTGTTTCCCGATGTTACATGGAAGCATGTACCGTCCATGATGAATCCAGCTGATCCAGCCAGTCGAGGTCTCAGTCCTGCTGAATTAGTTGATCATCCTTTATGGTGGTGTCCAAAATGGCTTGAGCTGGACGACTCAACATGGCCAGATAACATTCCTGACCTAAGTGAAGCGGAATTACCTGGCATGAAGTCTTCACCGTTTGAAGTCTATGTGACTCAGACGGTTGATGAATTTCCTGCTCTTACAAAATTCAGCTCGTTTCCCAAGTTACAGTCTGTGGTAGCTTGGTGTAAGCGCTTTATTTACAACCTGCGTAACTATTCTCAACGAAGAACTGGACCTCTTAGCGTATGCGAGTTGAGTGCAAGCACGCACACTATTGTCCGGCTAGTTCAGTCTTCGGAGTTTTTGGAAACTTCTAGAAGGTTACGTGAGGACAAACCTCTCAAGGGTTGTCTTTTAAGGCTCAACCTATTTCTTGATCAGGACGGCCTTATTAGAGTTGGTGGAAGACTTATCAACTCAAATTTACCCTACAACGCAAAGCATCCGCTTCTACTTCCAAAAACTCACCATGTAACACGGTTAATAATCGATCATTATCATCGTATTTTTTTGCATTCAGGCTTAAATTCCCTCATGAATTTATTGCAACAAAATTATTGGATTTTATCAGCGCGTCGAATAATCCGCCAACAAATATTTCGTTGCCACAGATGTTATAGATCTCGACCTAAGTCCATTGAACCATTCATGGGAGATTTGCCATCTCATCGAGTGACGTCGTGTCGACCTTTTGAAAAAGTAGGAGTCGATTTCGCAGGTCCTTTTTCCTTAAAGACATCTCGAATTCGAAACGCCAAATCTGTTAAATCATATCTTTGTATTTTTGTATGCTTTACGACTAAGTGCGTCCATCTAGAAATTGTTTCAGAGTTGTCCACTGAAGCATTTTTAGCCTGCTTTGATCGATTTGTTTCTCGTAGAGGTCTTCCCAGCGACGTTTTTAGTGACTGCGGTACTAATTTTATCGGTACTCGAAATTATTTAAAGAACGTAACTCAGCACATTAAAAATTCACATGAAGAAATTCACAAACATTTAGCACGTCAACAAGTAGTTTGGCATTTGAATCCTCCCGCCAGTCCACATATGGGCGGTTTGTGGGAAAGCGCCGTGCGCTCTGCCAAGATTATTTTAACTCGAGTTATCGGCGATCGCTCACTGGTTTTCGAAGAATTAGCTACCATTTTTGCCAAGGTTGAAGCTGCATTAAATTCGCGTCCTTTAGTCCCTATAACTAATGATTCAAACGATTTGGATGTTCTAACACCGGGCCATTTCCTCATCGGTAAACCCCTTCAGGCATTGCCTGAGGAGGAAATGACAGAATCTAATCTTTTAAAACGATGGCAATTAGTTCGTCAAATAACTCAGCATTTTTGGAAACGTTGGCAAACCGAATACCTTCACACATTGCAACAACGACCCAAATGGCTTGCTAGGCTACCTAATGTCCAAGTAGGTGATTTGGTCTTGCTAAAGGAATCCGCTTTGCCACCGCTTCGATGGAAGACAGCCCGCGTAACAAGGGTTTATCCAGGTTCTGACGGCACTGTTAGGGTGGTTGAATTAAAAACTTCAGCTGGTAGTCTACTTCGTCCAGTAACTAAAATTTGCCCGTTATTATGCCAAGCCTAATTAAATCAATGTTCTTATACCATAGAATCATAGCTTCTAGTAGTAGTGTATTTTAGTAGTAATCAAACTTATTATTATTATTATTATTTTTTTACTTAAGCCAATGTTTTTAGAAATCCTTGACTCTCTTATTCTTATTTATTATCTAATTTGCTAAAGAGCCTGGTAGCTCTTTGGGGGCGATATGGTAAATATAATCTCATCATATGTATATGCTTTAAACATTTCCGAACGCAACATGCTTCTACCCTCCTTACCTATCCATATTTCCTATCAAATCTGGGATCACATCGGGGGGTAGACGGATAAATTAAGTCTATAATCCAACTGCGTGTCGAGCTGATCGAGTTCCGCCAAGATCACAAAAAAAGGCTCCACCAGTTGCGAATTAGTCAATCAGCCGCGATCTCCGCGCAACTTACAGTGGTATTTCAGCGAAATCAACATAAGTGTTAGATATTTAGAAGAGAGAACGAGAACGCGTACAAAGACCTACACGCGGGGACTACGTGAACCAGGTTTGTCCTTTACCCTTCTTTTTATCCAACAGTGACCATGGGATTTTGTGACGTACAGTGCTAATAAAAACACAGAGAGATACAGGGGTGGGACGTGGCAGTGAAATTATAGGATACGTAGGTACCTTAGTCCTCGAGAATAACAACGCAAGAAATCCCTTTTATGGAATAATTCTGCCATTGTACTAATTCTTTTCTTAAGTACTCTGTTTCCTAGAATTTAAGACTTTACTGTACAATAAAGTGTTACAAACAAACAACGCATGAAGGATATAATATTCTGTTATGCCCATGATACTGTCCATATTTATAAGCGACGGTTACCACTTTGTAGCAGGTGGGCCGTTACTTTGTTTGCCATTCTAAGTTGCATAAAAAAAGATTTACTTAATAACGTTTAAATGATTGAATAAATTAAAATGAAAAATTTAATATACGAAAAAATATCATTTGTTTTAACTTAACACATGAGTTACTATATTATAGTATCACACTGCCATTTTTGCTGACAACCTGTACATATAAAATTGATTGTAATTATAAAAAATAATTATACTGACGTCTGAAGCTAAAGTCTCGGGTAAACAGCTAGTGGGGAAATATTTTAAACTTAATAAGGCACCACTTTGGGAATTGGTAGCTCGTATGTAGTTTCCCACGTTGGTGTGCAGAGAAAATAGTTGGCAACTCACTATAACTTGTTACAAGAGTTATTAATTAAGTTACAGTAACCGTTATAGAACGGGTAATGAATACGGCAATGTTACGTTTATTTATGTTATAGTATAAGACGAATTATAAAAGCGAATAAAAGAAAAAAATATATGTAATGACTAGCCGTTTCCCTCGGCGTTACTCGCTTGTATGTAGTCCCCGTATATCATTCCCATTGGAACTCTTCACGAATCCGGTTTTATATTGTACTATACATTTAAATGATAATTACGTACCTAATACCTTCATAAAGTTTCAGCCAATTATTTTATAGTTATTTTATAGCATTTTATATGTAATTCTTTAGATTGATATAACTTTTTTTATCTATAAACCGATTGAAATATTACAAACACTAAAGTTTAAGTGAAGTAAACTACAATGTATTAATAAAAATCGCGTTGAAATCGGTTAAACCGTATTTGAGATTATCGTACATAAACGTACAGACTAACAGAAGAAAATTCTAAAAACCATTGTTATGGGTTCTATCGCGTTCATAAAGCTTCTTATATATCTTCCAAGTACTGATAGCGACTAGTTACAATTTTATTATAAGTATTGATCGATTGATGATATGTAAATTGGAATAAAATTCCTCACTATCCTAATGGACCTAGGGTAAAGTTAGATGAATATACATAGTATGTTTATACAACTTGAAATGGAAAATAAGCTTATGTAAAGCTTATATGGTATGGGTACAGGACTCACAATTTTTTATCGTTGCTGTATTTTTAATTTACGTATTTTATATCCTAATATGTTCAATATACCCAATATTCTTAATTTTATGTAATGCTAAAAATGTTTGTTTAACCTTCTATTCATAAACCTAGCACATACTAGTATTATTCATACCTACAACTTTCAACCCTATATACTAAGCCCATATATTACTAAGCTTCGTATTTGGCACAATGCCTATATTTGACCTGGCACCATAGCAAATTTTTTGAAGCAACCCAGTAGTAGATACCTGTTTTCTAATGTAGTGTTATTTATTGAAATGATTTATCAACGATAAAACCATAGGACCTGTATTATTTGTAATATTAAAAAAAGTTATCTAAATATCTATTTTCTTGTATGAACGAATAAAAATAAATAACACTGTATGATATTTTTACATAAAATACACTTTTATTTCAACCTGTTTTTAAATTATAATCCTCAACTTCAAAGATTGAACCTTGAGAATTGGGATAAAAGTACTATATTTGTTATTACAGGTTTGATACATAGGTTTGATTGTTGTATAAAAGCCTAAAAGATATCAAATTGATCCTTAGCTTTTTGACAGCATAGCGAGGAACCTAAGAGTTTTGCAAATTCATATGTATTTAGATTCGTCATCATCATTCAGCCATTATCCGTCTACTGTTAAACACAGGGTTCTCCCATAGACTACCATAAGAAATGGTCCTGAGCCACGTGCATCCACTAACTCCTTGCAATCCATTTAAGGTCGTCACTCCATCTAGTTGCCGTACAATGCGTTTGCCCTACGGGGTCGCCACTCAAGAACCTTTCTTCCTCATCAGTTGTCGGTTCTTCGAACTATGTGACCAGTACATTGCCACTTCGGTTTGCTTATCTTTCGGGCTATGTCGGTAACTTTGGTTCTTTTGCGGATATCCTCGTTTCGGTAGTTGTTTCAAATGAATTGTCTCTTGCTTTGTTATTCGAAAAGCATCTGAAGCAGTAGTCCGGTACTCATACCAGAAGTATAGAAGTCTCCATGAAAAGGTGCCCCCTTAACACGAGTAGTAGAAGTTAAGTCTATAAATTTAAATTGATCTGTAAAGTTGACTCGTGTTTACTGAAACAAAATATATTTGCCTACAGAACTTATAATTTTGGTTCGTAGTATTCTACAATTCTAAAGCCTCGGATTATACGGTTTTAGCACCTAAAACGGCAAACAATGGACATTAATTTCCCCTACTATATACCCATAATACCCACACCGCTTAGACAATGCTTTTAATCCAGATGTTGGTACCTGCCCCGAAGAGCTGATGGATCAAACGGGGTCGAGTGCCAAGATGATTGATGACTATCTTCAACTCGCAATAGAAAGAAATGGATGTGGCAACTTACTAATTTGTCAAAGAAAAAATAACAAACGGTAGAATTGTTAAAGGCAAAAGTTTAAATTTAAAGGAAAATACAACCATAGACACGGGAAAGGTAATATCGATGTGTATTGATGATCATAATTTGTACGAATTATAAAAAATATACATAGAAATGAAACAAGCTGACGTCTCATTTGATGGGAAGTAATACTCGTGGTCTATAGATATGAACACATAAAGTACTGTGACGCCGATGGTATCACTCATTAGGTATGGGTATTATCAGTACTGCTGCAATATCTTTCTTAGGACATTGATGGTGGAAAAAAGGTCATCACTCGATTCCATATCGCCTATATTAGTCAAATATCTATATTGATTTCAATAAGATTCTTCATTTCTTTATTAAATAGCCATTGTAATAAAATTGTAACTAAATGATGTTTAAATAACAGAAATAGAAATCAAAGTAATAATTTTTGAGAAATTCTGTCTGAGTCTGTCTGTATATTTGTTTCGGCATCACACAAAAACTACCGTACCAAATTGGATGCAGTATTCACAGTTGTATTCCAGAAGATCTAATTTAAAAAATTGGTATATGTTCTATCTTAATATACTATCTATAAATGGTCTATTGTGTTGATATCATACTTCTGGAATTCACGAAGAAGTGGGCAAAAATGCTAGTATTTCATATATCCGTTATTAAGCCGATGTACTATAATATATATATATTCCCTTCACAAGTTGTCATGCCCGAGGATTATGACCTTATGCTTCCTTATCTATCTATCTTCTATCTATCATAGTATAAAATAATAGTTATTTTGGAGAAAACTTTTGAAGGATTAAATGTAATGTTTATTATTTGTCACTATACTATTACTTTGTCCAACACAAAGTGTGTAATTACCGTCTTTCATAAACTCATAATTTAACCTGTATCTAATATCGTATCTTTTTTTATTATGGTAAATAACAATAATATTTTTTTATGAAAATTAGAATGGCAAACAAGCTGACGACCCACCTGATGGAAAGTGGTAACCGTCACCTATAGACATGAACAGTATCATGGATATAACAGAGTATACTGTTTCGCACAATAATAATAAATAGCATATCTATAATAACAAATAGCAGGATACAAAGGAGACTACATCAAATAATAACATAAATATTTCGTACATTAAGTGTAACAATACTATATTTATTTTGTTTTTGTGTTTGTATTACAATACAATTAAAGTATATCTTTTTTATTTGTTGCAGGTAAATACAATGAATTACTCAAGCTGAAGTGTCAGACGAATTACAAGTACAATCTGTATTTCTTTGTGAGCTACTACTAACTGTAGTGGTAATAGCTTATACCATAAAATGCAAAAACAACTTACTGTGTATAGTAATTAGATCCAAAATTACGGACACGGATAGAGATAATATCACATCAGCTATTCACTGTCTTCTGCATAACACTGGCTTCGCCCTATTGGAAGGTTTTGCCAGTAATTGTCACCCTTGGCAACCATAGTTAGGATTTGTTAATGTTTTAAGATGGATGCTGTGTCCCCATCCTTCAATTATTATGTTCCCATAGTCGCCTCTTACGACACTCACGGGAAAAAAAAAGGGATGGCCTATTCTGTGTCGGAACTACACGGCAACGATGTAATTATAAGAA